TTTTTTAAGAAAATATAAAAATGTGTATAATATGTGTATAAATCTTATAAAATATTAATTATTACGATTTAAATAAAGAAAAATGTGATACATGAAAAAGTAACATATATATTTATATATTCACTCCTGGAAAACAAAAATAAAGTAAGCCTCGTAATACATGATTTCATTTTCCGATGTATTATTCAACAAAAGAAAAAAAAATTAATTAAAAGGATAATTATCATAGTGTAACAGCTTTGAAAGTAGTCAAATTTATGCTCAAAATCATGTAAACCAATAACTTTAAAGAATAATTAATTTAAAATAAAATATTATTTATTAATTATGATTGAATGGTTGAAAATACTCAAATATTGAATTCTCAACCAGTTAATAAGGAGATAAAAAGTATAATTTTTCCTTAGAATTAATATCAAGAAAATGGAAATTGCACGCACATATATAACACACCACATTCACCTTTAACAAAAATTATTAAAAGAAATTCAACACAAGAAAATTGAAGTAGATTAAGTAAAAAAAACATTAAGAGAGTGAACCTTTATGCTTTAAGTTAACACATGTCCACTGTGCACAACAAAGTCCGCAATGTTCATCTTTCATCTACACATAACGCAAAAATCATATTTTTAAAAAAATAAAAATAAAAATCTTGGTCCATGCCTCTGCTGTAATTTGCCTTCTGTCGATCGATGCTCTCGGTCGCTGGAAGTCAATCTTAAATTTGTTGAAATTCTTATACGTCTTGTACCTGTAAAAAGAACACAATCAAAGACAATCAATTTCAATCATATTTAATTAGGTCATATGATTAGAGGGAAGAAAATGAAACAAAAACTACTGAAGTACGCAAGAAAGTGTGAGGTTCTGCTAGAAAATGTCCCAATATTTATAGGCATATAATGCTCAACCTCTTGTCCAAAATAAATTATTGATAATTTATGTTTGTTACGAATTTTTTTGAATTTTGAAATAATTTTAGAATGTATGCCGTATATGGTTTTTCAAGCAACATATATATAACTCTATAATTATTGTAATTAGGCATAAATTATGGTTGAGGCTGATTTTTTGGATTTTAAAATTAATGAAAGGCTAGAATATATATAGATGATTCTGACATTAATTATATTTGAATTTCAAAATATAACTAATATTATTTAATGTTTGTTTTTGTATGTGATGGATTCATTCCCGCCAACCGAATCATATTTTCAAATCATATCAGATTACTTAATGAATAAAATAAATATTTACCTTTTTTGGGTAACACATAATGGAGGATTTAAAGATTTTCCGTTTTTTTTCCATCTCATCATCACGAAATAGAAAGTTTTTGATGTTTATGATTTTTGCTGATTTTGTGGGTTTGTTAATTAATGACTGATATGATTGTCTTAATTTTAATATGATAACAAATGAATCACTTAAAATTTGGAGGACTATTGGTGTAATTGTTGGAAATATTTTTTGTTGCAACCAATTGGAAACTGACACATAGGATATTGTCCTAGGGAGGAGATGTTTGATTTCCTCTTTTTGGTTTCTCTTTTAGTATAATATATTATAGATATGATTAGTATTAAGGTGATTAATATTAATTATACTATTAATATATTTTTAATTACTATTTAGTTTTTACTTTATTTAGTTATTTTAATTACTATTAATTAGTATTTAGTTTAATGTAGTTTGTTTATTTGTTTATAATTATAGTTTATTGTTAATAATTTGAATATTGTTTACTAATTAATGAAATTATTAGTATTTTTTTGGGTAACGCCGAAAACCCCACCAGAGATGGGTAAACCCACGCTTGTAATAGACTACAAACCACAGTAGAAGGTAAACCACCATAGGCAAGCCCGGGGTGACAAGCTCGGGTACGAATTTAGGGGTTCACGAGTAGTTTGCCATAACAAGCCCTCTAGAGGTGCCAATGGGCAAGATTAGAGTCATATTATTTATTAGTGAATTAAATATTGTTGAACGAAATAATTTGTATTAGTGTTATTATTTGGTAGTGTAATTAATAGTGATTAAATGCAGGAATCACTTAGCCCGATCAACAAAGAATTGGGTGCGCGGCATGTGCGTTCGCGAAATGTCCTGGCCTCGGGTCGGCATGTGAATGAGGAGATGCAGGAAGAAGGGAGTGTGAGCAGTTATGTAGTCTCTTGTGCGTGCAAAATTGTGTCACCCTCTGATTGGAACATTTCATTAGTGTCAAAAGAAACATTATGATCTTCGTTTCCAGCTGTATCCTGCAAATTCCAATCATATACTCTAAATAACTTATTAATAGAATACCTAATTACTCTTACTAAATAAAAAAAATAAACTTAAAATGGCATAAAATAATAAATTTGCATGAATAAATAATTTAAACGAATCCTATTCAATTTAATTATGATGCAATAATTAATAAAATACGATAAATTAACTAAATAAATCAATAAAACTAAAATTGAAAAAACAATAAAAAAATACCCGGGCCGCAGCACCCACCGGCCTGAGATAAGCGAGCCGGTATCCACATCGGCTCGCCCCACAATGGACGGCAGCCCCGGCGTCCCATGTTGATTTGGACGCTGTTGGCGGCGACCATGACTAACATGGCCGCCACAGCTGCCGACCCTAATGGCCGGCGGCCCTACCGTCTCTGGTCCTAAAAACCGGCAAAAATGCCGTCTAGGCTAAGCCGTCCCGGCTTATTCCGGACGGTATTTCTGCCGGCTTGGTCTATTTCGGCCTGAAATTCTACAAATCTAATCATTGTTTTTCTTACCAAATGAAAATGGCAGAATTGTCTTTTTTACGGCAGTTTATATCTTTTTCCCGGCGGTCTTTAACGCGTCTCAAAAAATAAAAAAAAGTAGCTCATTCTCTCCCTTAAGAGTCCTGCATCAATGATTTTGTGGGGGAAAAACTCGTCCACAAAGATGAACCAAAGCTAACTGTTATGGCCATTTTCCTTTTTACAGGAAAAAAATAAAAATAAAAATAAAAAATAAAAAAGACAGAAGTTCATGGACCATCATAATAAGGTTAGATGTGAGAATGGGATGTGTTTGCTGCCCTTGGTGTGGAGTTTCTAGCTATTCTTGATATTGACAAATTGCTAGACCAAAAAATGTTATGCCCCCCACACCCCATATGAAATAAGTCCACTAATAATTTGCACTTCCAGTTTCAGGTTAAAAATGACGTCTTTATAAAATATTATTCTTTTCAACAAAATTAATGTCTTGTACGTTGAATTAATATAGTAAAATAAACACGACTTTTTAGTTCAGATGAAAATAATTTGAAGACTCATAAATATATGTATGTATCATTTTGTTGTATATAAATGTTAATAAGGACTATGTATAGAAGAAGACTAATACTCCCCGTCTCAAAAATATAGTCCGGTTTGAAATGTATAACCTTTTTAATTTGGTCAACATACCAAATGTACAATTCATTTTATGCCCCTAATTTATACTAATGCCTCTTTTAGTTATTTCTATAAAATTTAATTCCATATGCATTTATTTTACAACTTAAATTTGATCAAAATTTTTATTTTAAAAAATATTGACAATGAATCTTGATGGAAAGATCTCGTTACGTAGATTAATTTGATATATAATACATTTTTTAATTATACAGATATTAAAAGATATAATTATTTTAAAAAATTGGAGAAAACTAAAACAAAAAAAAAAAATCAAAGGAAGTGGGCCTTGTTTTTCTTACCACTACTCTTTTGGATATTTAAGTCATTTCAATTCAATTAATTTTGACTTTTGTGAAATTGGACTTTTTTGGGGACAAATATTTTATTAAACGGGACTATTTTTCCTGAGACGGAGGGAGTATTATTTAAGTCTATCATGCCGTAGAGGAAGTATCAAAATTGAACTCTATCATGTTAGCAGTAAACGTGTTTTTGGCAAAACCATAGTGTCTTAAAATGAAAACAAAAAACACCTTTCAAATTGGTAAAAGTAAAAGTAAAACCTCAATTTGTAATGGCATGATATATTGAGTGAGGGGTTTTTTTTTTTTTTTGAAATTTCTACCAAATACGTACCTATATTATTACCTTTATAAGATTTTGATAATTTACCCTATCTATCAGTTCCTTGTTTTCCTCCTTTACTTTATGATTAATGTACAAAATTTTACCACCAGAATGACATATCATGTCAATCAAAGTTTGAATAGTTGTATGAATCATCATGTACACATAATTGTTCTCCAAGAAAAAAAAAAAAAAAACAAACTCCGAATAATTAGCTTCTAGACACAAAATTAAGAAAAGGCTATTGGTCAAAATTGTTAAAACACATGACAATGATATCTTGTTTTCGAATCAAATTCACATACGTTATAACTCATATGTAGTTAGTCATTAGTAACTTAGGAATCACGTCCAAATCCTGTTAAGGGTTAAACCTTAAACCAGACAAATAGATTTCCATATTTATCATAGATTTCTCAAAATATAAAACAAAAAATATTAATGTTAACATTTATGGCGATAATAATCCTTAAACCTCAAAAGAGAAAAACAAAAAAAAATTCAACCGAAATTTCACAAAAACATTATCCATTTCTCCTGTCATTCTTAGACTAATAACAACAACAACACAACAGATCTCTAGCTATATAAACCGTACAAATTTGAATTCCATTGTACCTTCATTTCCCATTTATTTTTAGAAAACATTTCCAGATACTATTTAGCCTTTAAAAAAATGAATACTATTTAGACTATAATAATAACAAATAATTCATTTTTTATAGTTGCTCATATCCGAAGGAAACAAAAGGGACCAAAAATCATTTTCCCCCTTTTATTGTTTTTGCCTCTTCCTTCTCTCTCTTCTCTCTCCCTCTGTGTTTTTGTTTATTCGGTCGCTGTCGGTCTCCCGGAACTCCCTAGCGGCGGAGATTAGGGACGCGGCGGCGAAGCCAGGCTCTCTAGGTATTGTAGTCTGAGGAATTGAATGGCATCGGAGGATGTGGTAGGGAAGAGAAGCGAGAGTGCGGCGGTGACGAGGATCGTTAATTTGGCAGGGGAAGCCAAAACTGCGACTGAAGGAGTTAAAGCTCCTAGTCATGCTCTTCTTAGCATCTCCAAGTCTCTTGCCGCCGGTGGAATCGCCGGAGGAGTGTCAGTCTCTTTCTCTATTTTTTTTTTTTTTGCTCCTTTTCTCTACATTTTTCCCCTTTTGTTTGCATGTGTAGTGTATCACCTTTTTTTTTTTCTTGGGCTTCCGTTGTATATTGAACTATTGACATACATGAGGATTTTTGATGATATAATTAATGTTAATGAAGGATATCTGGTTTGTTTGATCGTTTTTCCCCCTTCCAATTTGGTGGTTTATTTGCACCTGGTGTGAATGATGTGCTTCTTAGGTGTTTGTAGTGGAATAGTGCTGATGGAGATTGTGATTTGTATGTGCATTGCTGAGTTGGACTGTCAAATTGTTTCTGAGTGGTGTTATTTTGGCCTATCTAAAGTGATTTATTTTGTGCGAATTATGTTCTCAGCTATTGATATTGGTGTAGTTGTTGTACAATGAAATGAAGAAATTGAAGATTATCTGGTGACTCTATTTTTATGATTGGAAGGGCTTATTCATGTGTTGTCCAACTTTGTTTGCTATAATGATTGCATTCTGATTACAAGATGGTATTTTTACTAATATGTTTACAACTTACAAGTGTGAACAAAGGATTGAACGCGCTGAACAAAAGATAATTTGAGTTCTGTTGTTCTTTTAGCGGAATTTCAACTGTTACTATGTTTGTTATTTTGACATTTTTCAATGCTTGATTGGTGTTTATTCTACTATGAATCATGCATTTCAATTTTTCCGCTGTGATGGTTTGTAAGTATCGTGTTATTATTATTAAAGACACTGAAGCTTGCTGTGTGGAGATCATGTCAGCAAATTCTGTTATTCTGTTGGTAAAATCTTAACTGTTGATATGTTTTCTAGTGAGTGATGTATGTATGTGTCCACATGACTTTCCAAGGCATTAGAAAGTGGCTCTCGTGAATCTTGCATTTACATCACTCATCTGCTTATGAACACGTGTGTGTGTTTTCCGTTATTAGAATACCCCTCGCGTTGATGGTAAATGTCATTTTGTCTACCACGTGTTAGATGTTGATTGGAATGTTTGGTGTTTGAGAGAAAGTTCGGTCATTGGAATGAGGCTGACTTGGTGAGGTCACTGTTATGTGGATGCCATTGCGTAGAAGCACCGAAAAGAAAAGACAGTTTTTTTTTTTTTTTTTTTTTTGTGGTTTGGGTTAGTTAAAGAACTTCTGTAATGGGCCTGTATTTTCTATCCTACCATACACCATTAAAGGTAAACATTAATAAAAGAAAATTGTTTGAAGTGGAAGAAAATAAAGAAGTTGTGTTTGAAGCATCCGGACCGCTTCTTTTTTGTTTCTATTTTGTTCTGGAAGATATTCTGCCTATCTGTTCACTGGCCATTAAAGTCTTGTAATTCGTTATTTCTGCAGGTCCCGCACTGCAGTTGCTCCTTTGGAACGTCTGAAAATTCTTCTCCAGGTTATGCTTATTCTCATTTTAATTTGAAATTTCTGTTGTGGAAATTTATTCAGCAATTATGCTTCCATTGGGATGCTAAATTTTGTGATTAATTCATTTTTTATATCCCCTAAAACTTTCAAAGACATTATTTTCGGATATTGATAACTTTTGCGAAAAGTTTTCATGCTAAGTTGCGGTGGAGGATTGGTGACATTTTTAGTTTTTGTGACTCATTGGCATAGAGTTGGTTTCCTTTCTTTCATATTGTCCATTTATTGTGGACCCATTAGAATGGGTGCCAGAGTATCTTTTTTATTTCCCCGAAGCCAATTCTGTGATTTACAAATCATTGTTTTTGCAAGTTGCACTTGTGCTTTTATAGTGTTGTATAGTGGATGATTTTTGTTAAGAACTTGGTGTTCTTATGTTGGCTCTAATTTTTTATTTTCCTCCATTGAACAGTTTAGAAAAGGCTTAGTTGTTGTTGATGCTTCTTGGAATTGTTTAAAGTTAGCAGATTAGTATTTATATTTTCGTTCTTTTCATGGAAGCAGGTTCAGAATCCACATAACATCAAGTACAATGGAACAGTTCAGGGGTTAAAATATATATGGAGGACTGAGGGTTTCAGGGGACTTTTCAAAGGGAATGGAACTAATTGTGCTCGGATTGTGCCAAATTCTGCTGTCAAGTTCTTCAGTTATGAGGAGGCATCAAAGTAAGCTTCAATTCTATTTATATTATTGTTCAGATTGTGCTTCTTAGACTTTGTGTCACCAGACAGTTTTTAAAGTATAATACGTGTTGCTTTGGTGATTTACGTGTAAGTGATGCACGTTAAAGGTCTTTTGCATAGTGGACATTTTATCATGGCATGACAGTACTCTGTCTTTGATATTGTCTTTAAACTAAACAGGAAGTTTTTTATGCCGTTATACATCAAATTGAAAATGATCTTTTAACCTGGGCGAATAACTGAATATGGAACTGATAATCTTTAGAGTGATGTTTTAGAATAGTGTTCTGGATTATACAATAGTGATCTAGAATATTTGGATTGCTTTAACGAGGTTATACAGTAGTGTTCTAGAATTTGTGATGTTATAGCAAAGTAGTTACTGGGTGGATCCGCTGTGAATTGTGGTCTCAATAAATTGTCTGACTGAATTTATGTTGATTGTTGCTTCCTCTTCATTGTACAGGCAAATCTTATGGCTGTACCGCAGGCAAACTGGGAAAGGTGTTTCCATTTTCCCTTAGCCATTCTCTTGAAATGTGCTCATAATGCAGTTTTTTTTTTTTTTTAACTTTTTAATTTTTATAAATATATTTTTTAATTTATTTTCAAATTATCATCTTTGATTGCAACAGAGGATGCTGAACTTACTCCTGTTCTACGCCTTGGTGCTGGAGCATGTGCTGGAATAATAGCTATGTCTGCAACATACCCAATGGACATGGTGCGAGGTCGAATTACTGTCCAGGTATCCTTTATGAGGTTTTTCAGGACACGTCTGAGTCGATACAATGGGGAGGTTTTAATAACTGAAATGGAGGAACTTTGTGAGCTTGGGAGTGTAACTTGTTTCATGCTGTTTTTATGACTTTAACTGCTTGTTTTTCCCTGCAGACCGACAAGTCTCCTACTCAATACAGAGGTATTTTCCATGCTCTAAGAACAGTATTGGCTGAAGAAGGTCCCCGTGCTTTATACAAGGGTTGGCTTCCATCTGTTATAGGAGTTGTAAGTACTGACGTTGCTATTCCTTATGTGTTCTGTTCAAACAAAAATACTAATTGGTTTATGCATCTGAAGTATAAGCTTGGATTTCCATAATGATGTCTATTTTGAATGGCTTGAGCTTGACTAAAAAAAATGATTTAACGTGTGTTTTCAAGAAATGGAGTTTTGAGTGTGCTCATCAGCATTCGATCTTTGTGCACCCATCGGCAATTATGTCTATACATATTAACAAACTTTGCACTCTTGACTCATTATTGTCTTCTGGAAGTGTTTTCTATTCATTTCCCCTGACTCATTCAGCACTTTTAATGTTCTGAGTTCAATTTCCATTGCCATAAATCATAATGTTCTGAGTGACATGCGGTTGGTTACTTGTGCATGCCTCAGTCTCTTTATTCTGTTCTTTCGGCTGTTTGAAATTTCCTTCTTTGCCTTGTTACATTTATGACAAACTTTTGAGCCAGCAATGGAAATTCCTATTTGTGGCTTCCGCAAACTCTTAGTTTGACTTGTTGTAACTTGACATATCATTGTACCTTTTCTTATTTTTGCTGAGAGATTTCTTTTGTAAATGTGCAGATTCCTTATGTGGGTCTGAATTTTGCTGTTTATGAATCTCTGAAAGATTGGTTGGTCAAATCTAAACCATTTGGACCAACTCAAGACTCCGAGTTGAGTGTAGCAACGAAGCTTGCATGTGGTGCTGCTGCTGGAACTGTTGGACAGACAGTGGCTTATCCACTTGATGTTGTCCGCAGGCGGATGCAGATGGTGGGCTGGAAAGATGCTTCTTCTGTTGTTAGTGGTGATGGGAAGAGCAAGATACCTATTCAATATAATGGTATGATAGATACATTTCGAAAGACAGTTCGCTATGAGGGTGTTGGAGCTTTGTACAAGGGTTTGGTTCCGAATTCAGTAAAGGTTAGTTAATCTTTTGGTTTAAAGAAACTGGCATGTGCAAATATATGCGTTAAGTCTTTCATATTAGCATCCACTCCCGAAGTAGTCCCATTTGTCAGTGTCTTGTTCGTAATCTTCTTACCTTTTATAACCATACTAACATGATCTTGTGAGTTTTACTATTACAAAGCAAGGATATAAGCGGAACGAAATACAATAAGAAGCTTATTTTGTGTGAAGCTACCTATAAAAAAACCACAAAAAGTTGTAACTTGGTAGAAATGGACTATTATTTGGACAGAAGGAGCATTTTGTTTCTTTTTTTTTCCCGGTCAACTGTTAGAGGTTAGAACATGTGATGTTCATTGATAGCTTTCAATCTTCACATCATCTCTGATGTAGGAGCAGAATTCTTATGTGGATGATTTGATTATTTGCAGGTGGTTCCTTCCATAGCAATTGCATTTGTGACATATGAGGTTGTAAAGGACATTCTTGGAGTTGAAATGAGGATATCTGATTAAAAGAAATAGAGGAAGTTTAGGAAATGTTTTCAAATACCATACAATAGTAATATGTAGTTGGATGTGTTGAGAAGGTATTTTGGCTGGGGATGGTCCCATAGTTTGACTAGCTCTCTCCTCTGCTCCCTTTCAGGCGTGTTGATTTGGTAGCATATATATAGGTAGTCCTCGTCTCTGCTTCTGGAGTCAAATATTCTTTCCATTTCCCAGCTCGACAGCTTTCTTTACATACTTCAAACTCCCAATAAGTAATTGTTTAGAGAATGATGATACAAATGTATAATTATCTTGTACCGTGTTAGAAAATTTCATTACCTTCTTCCTTAAATATTTTGGGTTTTTTTTAAGTAGCTAAGATCATGTGCTGTTATTGCTTTCTGTTTGAGCTGTGATGCTGATGATTCCAATTTTCGAGTTACTTTTCAATACCCAATTCTTCCTCTAGGTGTAAAAACATTGTAATGTCTGAATATTTTATAAACTTAAGTAAAAATACAAAAATTCTCCCAAAAACATTTGGTATCTTGTATAGTTGTACTAATAAGAACAATCATTTTGGGACGGAGGGAGTATATGTGTTTTATAGTTCTCAGTTCTAGAACTGGTAGTGTCTAAAATCCATTGCGTTTTATATTCCAAGATAATTGCCTGGAAATAACGGTTAAAAGATTTAAATCCTGTTTCAATGGACCAAAAGTAATGCCTCAAAATAACCCAAGAATGCTAATTTCCTTTACTACCTGACTTGCAAACCAAAACAATCCCAAAAAAATATTTGGAACTTCCTGTACTGACCTGACTGGCAGACCAAAAAAATATACTGGACATGTTCATGACCAACATTCAATTCCTAGTAATTCACCCGTAAAAGCTACCGAACCAAAGAAAAAGATCACAGCCCCATACAAACCAATATAAACGAATAATGGAAAATGGAAGACAAACGACTCTACATACATGACCAAGCAAAAAAATACTTAAGCTGTTATCTGCCTTCTGGAAGTGGCTGGCCTCGGAATTGCCTTAGTGACCATATCTTTGAGATCATCATATCGGTTGCGGTGGTACTCAATCCCAGCGCACAGCTGTCTTATGGCTTCTCTTTTCTCCTCACTCAACTCCAGTATTCCATCATCTTTACTTTTGATCTTCTGATTCAACTCCTCCATTGTTTCATCCTTCTCTTTCACCACTTTGTGCAGCTTCTCCAACTTCCCTTCCAACCCTTTCATGGCTTCCACCAATCCACTCTTCTCATCTTCACTTTTCAGCAATGATGTTTCCATCCGTCCGACCTTTTCTTTCTCTTCCTTCAACTGCTGCGTTAGATTGGATAGTTCATTATTCAGCTGTTGCTTTTCACCATTCAAGTCCTTGATCAAGTTCCTGGTAACTTTAAGCTCATTCACTATTTCGTAAACTCGGGACTCCAAGTGTCCGTAATCTTCCTCTACTTTCATCGTGAACGTGTCCATTCCGTTCATGATTTCGTTAACTTTCTGCGGTACTTCTGTCATGAGCTTGATCCGAGCTTGTTTGTGAGCATCAACTGATTCTGTTAATGTAGCTAGCCTTTCTTCGAGCAATGTTTTCTCATTCTGAAACTTTTCTTCTTTGCCCTTCTGGGTCTCTTCATTTTCAGTGTGCATCTGTTCTGTCACACGGAGCTTCTGGTTCGCAAGCCGCAGCTTTACTTCAAGTGTCCGGACATGCTCATGCAATGTGCTTACTTCATCTGCTTTCATCTCGAGTTCTCTCTTCAGCTCTTCAATGGTTTCCTCCAGTTCATGAACTGTCTGATTTTTGGCCTCAAGACTTTCCTTGCATTCCTGATATGAAAATTCCAGCTGTTTATGTTCATCGCTTAATTTGCTAAATGCCTCTTCCTGCTCTTTCAGCTTTCTCTCTTGGTCTGCGATCTGATTTGCTAATTCAGATTTATGATTTTCTGCTTCTGTTATACTCGCTGAGAACTCTTGTGATCTTCTCTCCATTTGCAATTCCAACTCACTTTTTGCAGAATCTATTGAGAATTTCTCCTGTGTCAAAGTTTTAATCTGCTGAGTCAAAGAATCAATCTGAGAGAAAGCTTCAGCATTTGCTTCCTCCAATTTCTTCTGGATTGCAAGTATCTCATTCTCTCTTTCGGTCAATGCTTTCTCCAGCTCCAAAATCTTGTTCTGCAGACGCTCATTTTCTTCAGTCAACCGACTGCTTTCATCTGATTTGCTACTGACATGCCCTTCCAATTCACTTTTGTGCGAGACTAGATCATTAATCTGCACAAGCAAACCTTCTTTCTCTTCCAGCAATCTTTGTTCATCCAAAGTTTTGCTTGCCAGTTCTTCATTTAAACTTTCTACATGAGCAGCATATTTTGCTACTTCTCCTGTCTTTTCCTCAAGCAGGGTTTCAGATTCACTTTTAAGGGCAGAAAGGGAATTCACTTGCTCCTTGAGAGTGTTAACCTCGGCAGTTAATGCTGTAATTTGAGCAGATGCTTCCGTCTGTGCATCTTCACTTTTCCTCTTCAAATCAGATACTTCGATTTCTTTCTCAGCTACTCTTGAATCCAATTCGGTAACTTTTCTATCAATCTGCTCTTTCTCTGCCTGCAACTGGGTAATTTCCTCGTTTTTGCTTCTCAACTGCTCTTCCATTTCATCTTTCTGACCACGGATTGAATTCAGATCCAGTTCTAAGGTGTGCAGTTGTGATGCAAAACTCTCTTTCTCGTCCAGTACTCTTTGTTGATAAGACGACTTGTTCGCAATCTCCTCTTTCAATGCTTCTATCTGAACCAGAAATTCTGATATTTCTTCAGCTTTTTGCTTCAGTTGACCTTCCAGTTCAGCTTTCTCATTAGAAAGTGATTCCTCATTCTGTTGTTTCTCACTGACTTGATCCATTAAGCCCTTCATCTGGGTAGATGCTACTGATAATTCTTCATCCTTTTGCTTCAGCTGACTTTCCAGTTCCCCTTTCTCATTAGAAAGCGCGTCGATGTTCAGTTGTTTCTCACTGATTTGATTCATTAAGTCCTTGATCTGGTTCGATGCTTCATCACTTTTGCGCGCTAATTCTTCCTCCAGTTGGTTCTTTTGAGTGATCAAAGAATCAATTTCAGCTTGCATGTCTGTGACCTTAGCCGTCAGACCCTCTATTTGAGATGATGAATCCTTTTCTTTGTCCTCAAGTTTTTTCAGAAGCTCGGAAAGTTCCCCTTCCTTTTGCGTTTCTATCTCTTTTTTCTGAGAGTGTAATGAATCCAGCTCCATTTCCAGACCTCTGACGTGAACTGAAATTTCATTTTTGTGTGTTTCATGAGTCAAAATCTCTTTTTCCTTCTCATCCAGTTTCTCCCTCAGCTGACTAGACTCTGTCTGAAGTTCTTGAATTTTTGCTTCGGACTGACTGATATCATTCAACAGCTCTGAAATCTTCGAGGAAAGAGAAGCATTTTCCCCTTCGGCAGCTTTTTGGATTCGGCTAAGTTCTTCAACTTCCAGCTCTGAGGATTTCAATTTCTCCTCAACTGATTCAAACTTATCTTTTGTAGTTTGTAATTCTATCCTCAAAGCTTCTTTCTCATCCCCCAATTGGCTGGTAGACAACCTCAATTCTTCAACACTTTTCTTTTCCTCTTCAATTTGACTCATTGCAGCTGCCCTTTCCGAAACCAATTTTGCTTTTTCACCATCTAAATCTGCCAGTTTCTGGTTCAATTCAGCTTCTAGCTTACTAGCATCCTCTAACTTCTTCTTCAGCTCCTCAGTTTCAGTCAACAGTTCTGCTTTCTCAATGGTCCACTTCTCAGACTCAGCATTCAGATCCTTAATAATTTTCTCAGATGCTTCTATGTTGGTCAACGCATCTTGATATTTCAAATCTGAAGCTTCTTTTCCTTCTACAGCCATGGCCAACTTCTGCTTTAAATCATCCACTTCGAGATTTACCTCCTCTAACTTCTTTTTCAGCTCTTCTGTTTCAGTCAGTTGAGCTGCTTTCTCAACATTCCACTTCTCAGACTCAACATTGAGATCCTTAATAATCTTCTCGGATACTTCTATGTTGGTCAGCGCATCTTGATATTTCAAATCTGAAGCTTCTTTTTCTTCTGCAGCGACAGCCAATTTCTGCTTTAAATCATCAACTTCAAGATTCGCAGCTTCCAGCTCTTGCTTAATACCATCTAATACCTTCTCAAAGTCATTCCCGTTTTCTCCGTTTTTACTGCCTTTCTTGGTTGGTGAGTGATCAGAGTCAGAATCTGAGCTGGAGGAAGAAGAATCCTCCTCCTTTCCGCTTTTCTTGACTTTCTTTCTCAATTCTCCAGTCAGATGATCATAGCGAGCGTAAAGAGATTCATAGTGTTTGCGAACATCCTCTATCAAATCAGTCAGAGATTCATTCTCATCTCTCCCATCATCTTCTTTAAGCCGCTCCAAGATCTTCTGAACTTTACTATCAATTCCTGTAAATTATTTTGGCAACTTAATGTTATAACAGCAGCAAATGTATGAGAACCATGAGAGAGCAACATCTCCCCAATATTAAGAAACTAACGCAGGACACAAAGAATTGAGCAGCAAAGTCTAAATTATGAATGTACCTGCTTTTTCTTCTTTTAGTTCCCCATCTTTGTCAGGGGCAATGTGCGTTTCAACAAAGGATTTGATGGACTGTCTCAACCGATGCTTTGGCATGTTTTCGTTCCTTCGCTACTCACCTAAATCTTCAATCAACCACTAGAACATTGCTGCCACGATGAACAGCTCCGTTTCTGAGGAACATAAGATCATATTCAAAAACTTTTATCTGTATCAAAAAAAAAAAAAAACTTTTATTCACTTAAACAGAAACTACAAACATAATCCTGCCACTGAAACATGTTTTCGCACTATAGGCATAAAAGCCAGAAAATATGCAACTGGAAAATTTGTAGAAAGTTTGTTTTTGTTGACTTGATAACAGCAAGAGCACGTACAAACACGACATCAAAAGTAAGCTCTAAGCCTACAGCCTGGTTTCCCACGCCAAAAATGTGGGTCGAACCATTTTTTCCTGTCCTTTTCAAAGCAGGTTAAAAAAAACACCTCGATTGTGATAAATCAAGGAATGCAAAGAATTTTATAGTGCAATTGGCCCCTGATCAACATTTACTACTCCTCTGTTCCCAAATTTAGAACCATTCTTCCAGCTATGAAAATCACTCTCAAACATTGGACGGTGGAGTGGAATAGTGGACCACATTAAATTGTCACCAACATTTAATTAATTAATTTTTTATTTTTTTTATTTTTTTGGTGCGAAGTACAAAAATTATGCTTAATTGAGGTGCCATATGTAATTTAACCCTGATCCTTGGTGTCAAATATATTTGTACAGTGGTAGATAGATGGTAAAGAAAGAGCCAAAATGTAAACTGTCAAATAAACAGCAAGAAAATGCCAAACATGAGGGGTCATTTTTAAAAGCTCTCCACCGAAAACAAAAGCCAAACTTTTCTTTTTGAACATTTCAAATGTAGATGGAGGCAGACAAATTACTAACCAAAGATCTAATCTCAGACATAATTAGCATACACTACAATTTTATACACACAAGGGCTTCTTTGATTGACAAAATTTGTATCCAATAATAAAGAAACTTTACAAAAATTCATTATGAACTTCCGTAAATATTCAGTTGCAGGCAAAAAAAAAAAAGAAATAAAAAAGAAAAACTCTCATAGAAAGATAACTGTTGAATGAATATTGAATTTGACAACAGGCTCCAATAATAGAAGCCAGCTAATCCAGCGACCACCACCACCGAAAAATTAAAACGGAAAATGAATAACGCTCTGTCTCAAGAACTCAAGAAACACAATCTTGTTCAACGTTCATAAAAGGAAAATCAAGATACTAATAATTAAACTAACAGAGAAATCAAATTTTTTAGTTTCCATGTGTAGAAATTAACGCTCGTCTCTTTCCTTACAAATTAGCCACAATCAAAAGAAAATACAGAGAGGAGAAAACAGAGCAACCTAACGTACGTCGAAACACGAAAAGAAATCGAAGCACACAAAACCGTCAAGTTGTCGAGAAAATTTCAACTTCAATTCACTCGATTTCAGAGGTCAGAATGGAAGAGCTTACCAATAGCAAACAGTAAGAACACGATCGGTTCTTGATCATTCTAATTTACAAACAGATACAATCCGTAGCATCAGAAGCTCGTCGGAAGAAGTTCAAATTCAGTATACAGCAAAAAAAAAAATCCAAGAAACAGAAAATCATTTATTTTACGGTAACCGCAAAAATCATTCACGCGAAACAGTGAAAAAGGTAGTACTACAAGTGCATAAAGGAGAAGAAACTAAAGTTAGATATTTCACCTGAGCTGGAGGAATTCCGGCGAGGAAAAGGTAGAATTGAGCGGGAGAGGTCTCTGGAGTGATGGAGAGGAATCCTGAAAGCCTGATTGGAAGGAAGTGGAGATGCGAGAGAGAGAGAGAGAGAGAAATAGACGGTTTGGAGCGGAGTAAGAGAGTATGTTGTTGAAAATGAAAAGGAGCAACTTGTTCAAATCTGATCAGAAATTTAGTATAAAAACTAATTAAAAAGTTTTCAAACTCAAAAAGAGATCAAAAAAATAAAAAGTCATAATGGGGGGAGCCAGAGGCCAATAATAATAAGAGGACTGCTTAAAAAAGGTGTTAATAATATAGTATTTGTCATTTAGTACAATCTTAGTAGGACAGGACAATTGGTGTACGCACTTACTACCTAAATCTGCATTTAAATGTCATTCGTTATACTCCCCCTCTTCTTATTATAAGTCATTTTGAGGTATTTTGATTTCACCTTAGGTTTAACCTAAAATATCTTTTTAATCAGAATAAAACCTTAAAAACATTTCATAATAATTAAGAAAACACAACAAATGTGAAAATATATTTTTAAATTTTTTTTTATAATTAAAAATATATCATAAGTTAAACTTATGACGAAATCAAAATGCTTTATAATAAGGACACGAGGGAGTACGTATTAGCTTCTTATTTGTTTGTGGTGGAGAAAAAAAAAACAGAAACGCAGGACTGGTCAAGTGAGTTGAGAAGGAATTCGGTTACAATTTGTGATACCGTGTGAATAATTTGGAAAATAATAACTTTAGTAGTAAGTTTGAATGTAACTTTATTTGTTTTGCAAGTAATACAAAAGAAGGTTCTAAAAACTATGACTCAGATTAGATTATACTATAGTGTTGTAGTTTGAAAGATTTACTGGGTGCAAATAGTTCTTTCTTACTAGAATTTATCCATGATATGTGAAAGTATAGACATAATTTCATGCAGTCATTCGGTAACATGAAGAGCATAAACTAGATGATAGAATAAGAAGACCTCGGCTAACTCATTCCATAGATTTGGATTCATATACCTAACTCATCGTTATTTTGTATTCTTTCCGTCCTAAAAATTATTATTCAGTTTGAAATTTCACTTTTACTATAATTTGAACAAAAAAATAAAAATTCAAACTTGATAATAATGTCAGGACAGAGAGATAAAGGAAACTTTTACAGTATGTGAAATGAGTTTTGATTGATTAAAAAAAAAAGAAGAAGAAAAA